GGTTGCTGGGTCTATTGACCGAAGTTGAGCTCTTCAGAACTTAGCTTAATTTATTGTTCCTGTTTTATCTGGCTTGCTTCTGCTCACATCGACTTCGGTGGGAATGCTGCTACCAAGTTCAACAAAATCAGGCCTTTCACAGAGGGCCAGTGCAGCCTCTTTCATAAGCAATGAAACTCTGCACCCAGAGGGACACAAATGCTGAGTGCTTGTAACATTAGACTGAAAAGCTGTCTTCTCCTTCTCTTTGTGTGTTTAACTTCTCTTTAGTCTATTTGCATCTTTTCTGCATGTTCAGTACCACTAATCACATGAATCTCCCCATGCTGCCATTACTTGGTTGGCAACCTATTACTCTTCTGGTAGAATCAGCACCTTAGGTTTTGGTCCCAAGCATTAACAGCTTCAGGATAAACTGGATACTTTACTGCTGGGGCCCTCTCATACTGGGACTGTCTTCACCTCTGATCTCTACTTTTTCTTGTCCACCTGAACTAAGAATGGAGCAAGGATCAGAAAAGGAGAGGAAAAGCAAAGAGGGAAGAGTGGCCACTGATTACAGGCTCCAGAAGGAGCCTCAAAAGGAAACTGGATGAGCACTTTGAACTTCTCCCACAAGAACTGAAAGAGCTGGTGTGGCACCTGAAAACCATTAAGTATAAGGCTTCAACAGCTACTCAATATGAGCCGTGAGTGGCACAACCTGCTTGTGGGGTGGGAAGACACTCACGGCAGGTGCTAGCACTTCACTGTAAGAGCTGCCAGACAGAAGTTGTGGTTCACAAGTCAAGCAGTCTCTGAGTCCTTGGTTACCACATTGTCGTCTCAGTGAGTTACATTACAGTGAAGTGGATATAGTGCAGTTTTATCACTGAGGATAGTAGAACAGAAGATAAGATTATCAGTGATACTTGGCAAAGTCAAATCTGTAACTGTTTGTGTGAAAGGGCCTAGATCTCTAAAACAAAACATTAAAGAAAGGCTCAGTGTGAGCAGCCTGACAGGAAACCATCCATTCAGGCTCGCCTTCCTTAGAAACAGTCCCCTCCCACTTGGTCTTAAAATGTCACAGCCATTTATTTGTAGTCTATTAAATATTAATTGTATGGTTACCTAATCCCTGAAAGACAAGAGAAATTAAATGATTAGTGTAATTTAAAAATCAAGAAACATAAATAAGTGTTCTGTGCTATTTCTTCAGCACAGCCATCTGCTTCTTTCCTCTCCACTTCTCTCATTTACTTCAAAAAACAGATCTACAAAGAGGCTGGGCATAACTGGGGAGACAGTAGCCTAGAAAAGCTGTTTTGCTATGAAAGAAACTGCAACTGGAATAACACCCATGAGACAATGAATCAGCCAGTCTCTGCTAGCATAACACAGCAGAGGCCCAGCACAACACTGTCACTTCTCATTGCACTGTTCTTGGGGGATGGGGACTCCTTGTTCTGCACTGTTACACCAGGAGTATACAATATTGCACTCTACTGTGCAACTCCAACAGATAACAGGATGCTGCAAAGACATTGGAACACACTTGTGTATAAACAAATAAGGTGGGATGAACTTCAGCGCTGACTCCTCTCCTTGCCCCTGATCTCCAGCCAAGGGATATTTAAAAAACAAACCCAAAACTTTTCACACACCTGAGGTTAATTAGAAAATCTGCCCACTAACATCCATGAAGTAAAACCAAATGTATGACACATCATTAGACGACTTTGCAACTTCACCTATATGGTTAATTCACTATCCAAGTAAGCCATCTCTGCTAAATATTTTCATTATTATTATGCTCTGTATATCAGAAGAAACGGCTCTTACATAAGTCCATCTGCAAAAGTCTGGCAAACAGGTTAATCTCAAAACCAGTACAATATACAACCCTTTAATTTCTGTGCTCATTTATTTAGAAAACATTCATTCAAGGAATGAAAGCTAGGACTCTTGGTACAGCATCAGGTATCATCTATGCTACCATATGCTCTTTTTAGCAGAATGAAAAAGAGAAAATACATCCGGTTTTAGAATAACTGTACCTGCAATTACCTTAATCATAATACCCAGTCAAAAAATCCACCATTGGAAAACCAATGCTAAAATAATACATTCTCTTACTTCCCTTATTTGGAGCTTGAATGATACCATTACATTTTTTTTCAAATTGTTAAAAAAAATATACTTTTGTAGGACCCACCTATACCATGCAATTGTTTTAAGCAGCATCCCTAAAAATGGTATGACAGCTTTATGTGGAAAAGGCTAGAATGTAAAGAACAATGTTCTAACCCAGCATGTGGGTATGGTATCCTGGGCATAAGCTTGAGTCACATCCACACTGCCAAGACCAAACAAATATTTAAGCCATAATAGCAAAACGTTTTAGAATCAAGTGTAAACATAGTCAAAGAAACAGGATATACCGAGTGTTAATGCTATACAAACACTAGAGGGCACTGGCATATGTGCATTAAGCAAGCACTTTTGAATACTTGCTGGTCCGCGTAAGAATTACATTTATTGCAAAATGACATCAGAAACTGATATTCACTTGGTATCACCATTCTCATATCAAAGAAGCTACTCTTTAAACTAGACTGGGAGACCCCAGGCACCACCTTAGGCCTCAGCTGTGGCAAAGCTCTACGAGCTCAGGCTCTACCAGAAGGAATTAACTGGGCACCAGATCCCCACCTTTTCTTCAGCTTCACAAGAAGTGAGATCAGACCAATAGGGGTCCCCTGTGAAAGGTACTGAACACTGACCCATTGCAACAAAGCAATTCAGGATATAAATGGGTCTAAACAAGCACAAGTCTTCCTTACGGAAAACTAGGAATTTTAGCCAACATATGGGAGGAAGGAAAGGAGAGTCTTTCCTAAGGTACCTTGTTTCCCTAAGGAAAAATAATTTAGGCCAATACTTCCGTTTACTGCTTTATACTTTCAACGGAGATGCAAGTAAGCCCCTGTACATTACATAACATCTTGTTTTTTCATTTCCCATACAAAAGCTAAGTCTGATCACAGCTTATGCAAGGAAGCAATACAAGCATACCCAAAATAAAAGCACAAGGTAAATTTATGTGATTTCAAGCTGAATCTAAACCCACAACCTGCCACAGACTTTGTCTTAATTGCCTATTTAAATATTGTGCATTTGACCTCTGTGACACAATCAGGTTTTTATACTAGGCTAACCACGTCTATTTCTCATATTTAAATCCAAATCCACATTTTTTAAACAAATAAACAGAAGAGCCACTTTTTTTTTTATTAGGCTTTTGAGACAATAAATCAGCCTTAAAAAGCTGCGGTCTTATAAAATATCACTAAAGCTTTGATAAAGATCTGGTTTTTATTCTTCAGAGGTTTGGAAGCTCTTTTTTTTCAAATAGATCATACCCTTTTTAAAAAGGGCATAATCACTTATTTGTCATAGCATATAGCAGTTTATTAAATGCAACAATTAGAAGTTAAGTTGCTTTGTGTATTATCTACATGTGTAACAGTTACTTTCAAAAAGCAGCAATAGTGTTAACGTTGGAAAAAGTGTTCCTAATTAAAAAAACCTACTAGGACTAAGCTTCAATCTACTTTGCCAGTAAGTTTACAAAATAAAAGTCTGTATCTGCAGCTATGCAACATCTGAGGTCTTTCGGAAATGTGAACTTCAGCTAGAGGTTAAAAGCAGCATCTAGACATGCTCCACTACTGATCTAAGGAGACAAATATCTTTTTAATCAAAACAGTAGTTCTGGTTAACAGCATGAAAGAAGTTAAAATTAGAGTAACTAAGAATTTGGTTTAAACAACCTAAGCTTATATTGAATAAACTTTGAACAGAAAATATCTGCATTAACCAAGAATTTTAGCTTTCTAGAGGTAAGATGAGAAACCTATTTACTGACACTTCGAACTGAAACCCTTCAGGGGGACGCAGAGAATGACAGTGCAGGTGGTTACACTTTTGCAGACAGAAGACCACGTATTTTAGAGGTGCAGCAAATTGTCATTTGGTATCAAAGGATGCACATTCTGTTCTGTATATACTGGATTGAAAAGAAC